TCAATTCCTTTTGATATTCGAAATCTCGAATCATTTTATGATGCAATATTTTCTGTCTTTCTATAGACCTAACAACTACAAATACAAAAGTACAGTTTAATTAAATGATTTTGTCGAAAAGAGAAATTTTTTTGAGGATTTTCTTGATTTTATTCAATGTCTTAATGGATTGTTTAAATTAAAGTTAAATTCCATACTGCAACACATGGAAATACACATATTAGAATTTCTCTAAATTAAGTTAGTATTCTTTCACTTAAATACACGTAAACAGCTTTGTAGAATGAGTAGTTTTCGTATGAGAGTAAAGTAGTAATAAACTTAGATTGTAATTTGGAAATGTTGATTTGAATGTAGACAAAAAGATTAAATTTCAATAAAACTGTGTTAGAAAATTAGATTTGACACATTTAGTACTTTTTCCAAGTAAATTGAACTTTGAAGAAGAACATTCTACCAAATTTTATCATGCATACACATGTTATATGAACACCAGTTTTAATCAAAGCTCCTCGTGGAAGTAATAAATGAAAAAATCCTGTATGTTTGTCTTCCAAAACTAAATACTGTAATTGAATGATTATGTAATCAGTAAATTGCAAGAAGAAACTGTTTCTAACGACATAAATTAAAAGCTTAAATTAATTTCCATCATTTTATCAAATCGTTGAAGGTATATTATTGGTAGTAAGATCAAGTAAAAAAATCTATGTTCAAATGTTTGGTTGATTAGAAAATTGAAACATTTGTATATAATGTATTTCGAGGCATAGAATAACTCAGTTCAAGGAAAATTACTTCATCGTTGAATAATTACACTCCCGGTAATTTCATAAAACTGGTGTTAATATTTTTAAAATAAATAGATCGTTACAATTTACATCACAGACTAATCTTAACTAAACATTCAATTAAAACTGAGAAGAATCAAACATGTTTTCAATGGTTATCTAACCGAAATCAGTCCATGATGTCAATTATGAAGTTAAACAAACTTTAATAACTCCCCTGAATAGTAACATAGATTATATTTTAAATCAATTAAATTGAAAATCCCGATTGGTTTACTAAAAAGCAACTACTACTTATACTATTATAGAGAAAAGGAAATTTAACAATGAATAATATCATATCTGATACAAGATATCTTTATTCATCTTTTTTTCGTAAGCCAGAAATAAATTTCCGTAATAAATGTTCCTAAAAAAGCATCAAATAATAGTCACAAGATTAAGTATTGTATTTATAGTTGCGTAGGAAAACTAGATTATAAAAGGATTTACAGGATTGTAGTCATTTTGAGTCTTCGAACAAGACATGAAACACGCGTTATCACTATATGACTAGCCAACACCGGAAATCCATTGAATTTAGTAATATTGTGGTGTATGCTACTTATGTCTGTCGACATATGTAGTATTTAATACTATTCGGAAGTAAAAAGCTCGACAGCAGAATACTAAGAAGATCGAGTTAAAGAAAATAGAAAGGAATTGTGAACTTGAAGAATCATACAGAATGTGAAGGACAAATTATGGGATTTTTGCACATGAAATATTCAGTGTTCGATTTTTATATTTTACCAGGATACTCTGTAAATTTGCGTTAAAATACTATTGGTCGTCCTCACTCGTGTTCACGTCCGTTGTAGTACCACTGAATAAACTTCATATGACATCTATCGTAGAAAAGTAACTATGAATGTGAAGAAAAATCAATATGATTCGACACAGAGCAAGCTGTTCGTTGCAGCATTATGTACTTCCACATAACTTATTAACCATTTTGAGTAAATAAGACATTGGCAAATTGAATATATTAAACAATAAGCATAATTCAGTTAACAATATCCATTACGTTACTGATAGTCATCACATTCCATTTGAACCACATAGAGTATCACTTGTGGCACCAACATGACAGACTGTTTCCTAGCATCTGACTTAATATAACACAAAAAATGGCAGGAAATGAATTATAAAATGTCAATGAAACTAATACTGTTAATTTTCTACTTACTAAAACTGTTCTTAACCTAGTATAGGTATTTCAGCCAAATGTGCATAAAAGTTAAAATAATCATTTCTGTACAGGCGTCGAATTGATGTTTGTTAAAATCATTGCCACTTTCAAGTACATTAAGATCTATTGTTTTTCTCTTCAACAAATGTTATGTTTAAAATATGTTTAATAAGTTATGTACATTTCTGTGACAATATCACTTTATTTATACTATTCTAGGTTTGTGGAAAGGGAATATAGATGTCTGTTTAAGTCTGACGCTATTTCAAAATACGAATTTAAAAAATCCATACCTTGTAAAAGATAAAATAACCTAACAGTCTAAGATAAATTTACATATCTCTTTTGATTTAAATTACTGACTTTCTAGAAATAGAAAGTCACGTAGAGGATATTTCATGTAATTTCATATGTTTATAGTAGGGATTTTCCAATTTTTGTCTCAATGAATGTTATATATGAAAGGTAACTTTGAATGATTCCTAGTTCTAATAATAACGTGTTCGACCTTTTGTGATAATTGTTTCTGCATTTAACAGTTTTCTAAGATGTTATAACTTGTGCCCTGTATCCTTATTAATGTATAACGTGATGATACCGCCAACTAGAGAACGAGCAGTCTAGAGTCCTTATCGGTCCTGCTTCCCGCCTAGTCCAACCTGTTAAGTCCAGAACATCAATCACAGCCTCTGCGATATGAATCATGTATTTCAAACATTCTGGGTTTATATATCAACCAGACAGACCACATCGTACCGTGAACTATGAAACAACATTTGTACAAGATTTAGCCAAAAGTGTCTATGAATGTGAGAGGTAATAATTGATAAACTGGGTATAACTCAAGAATAGTAAATCGTATAATAATGGTTCATAGGTTAAAATAAAGCTTATGATAAGAGGACCACGAATATGAATAGTTTAGTCATTTACCAATTATACGATAAAAATATACGTATAGTATTGGTCCATAAATGGGTCCAAAAAGTTACCATTCGTTATTCACATCGGGATATAACAGAAAAAGTCACATGTGACGTCAGGGACGTCATGAAACGATAAGACGAGAATGATGGTAGTTTTATTTTTTGTCATAATCTATTTTAAATATAGTCATACTTTTGGGACAAAGAGTGATATTTAAATTATTCATCTTATTATCTTAAACAAAGAATTTCAATATTCTGAATTGATCATAAGCATTAACCATTAGATTTCTTGAATTTGTTATTTTAGATCAATAATCCAGTACGTTATTAAGGAAGAGGTGAAAAAACTGATCTTGTTCATTTGGTGTTACTGACTCCTAAAATGTTTTTCATCATAGCATATTTTGTGTCAAATGCCATCTTTAATTACTAAATCTCAAAAGCAGTATAAGGAAACTTCATATACTAAACTAAATAGTAAGTTTGTGGGGCCCTTTATTTTGTCGTCAATTAGATCGGACCATGTTTGTTGACAGGCTCTTCACTTTAGTGGCCCGAGTTCTGACTCCAAGTAGATCGCATGAATGATTGTTATTGAATTGTATATGTCTCCTATCCTCCTATTTCTTTATCGACTTAATCCGCGTTCAGTGAATAACGGAATTAAATAAGTCATATAACGAGAACGGACTATTGAATACATATATTTTGTATATGAAGTGAATGGAATAGAGTGAAGCAAAACGACGCTCAGAGGAGATGGCGGGTAAGCCAACTCCATTTAGTCAAGCGTTAATCAACATTTACAGTCACACAAAAATAGGCTACAGACATGTGATGAGTGATAGGATAAGAAATGTACACGCACGTATGCGCTCATATAAAAACGGTCAAGAGTGATTACTGAACGTTAACCCAGTATTTCAAGGTTAAGACCCCCAATCATGAGAACTGAAGTTACTGAGTTCAATCTCTAGCCGAGTCAAGAATAGATACTTCATAAGCAACCCATACTGCTAGCATTCTGTGCAAGCTGGTTATTAACAGGAAACTAACTGATGTTGGTCCATTTCTCATACAATCGATCAACCAAATAATTCTCTAGAAATATCTTAGGGATGAAATTTCTATAAGGTTAACTTTAAACAGACTAAATATACCAAAAATTAAGGCTAAACAGCGTTCATCAGAATCACTTGTTTAGGATCTGGAGAAAAACTGGTACTTTTTAATGTTACGAACGAATTTTACCGAACCCGATAATACAGGTATATTCAGTTAATATAAGTTCACTAAACGACTAGGATGACGACTGTGATTTTTTTAAAACTCTTGATAGAAAAAGTATTAATAAAATCTCTAATACATCATGCTAAAAACAACCCATAAAAACACCATATTCATTTTTTTTAGAATAACTGCAATAAATAATTCAACGCCAAAATATTTATGACAATTAACATTAAGTTATAATAAGATTTCACTCTGTTTACATTCATTTTATTTAGGCTGCTTCGACCTTGTTATCTGAATACTATTGAAAGTCATATTAATTCTGAATAAACTTTGTACTGTGGAAATATTTTTATAATGAGAAATAATGACTGAATGCAAAGATATTACTGTACTGTCGCTACTGACTGGTGTAACATATCAATAATTCTCGTCATCATTATCGGCAGTATGCAAAATACATCTATTCTTTAAAAATATATGAGATATTCAAAGCATTTAATCTCTGATATTTTAATAGTTGAGATCATGAGTCAATTGAAGCTAGATCACCATGGAAAACCTGGAAGCACTGGACGGTCGTTTCATCCTACTGTAGGACTCCTCAGCGATGCACATCCACGATTCCATCTCATACTAGAACGAAACGGCCGTCCAGTGCTTTCAGGTTTTCCATGGCGGTCCAGTTTTAATTGACTCGTGATTTCAACTATTAAAATTACTATTATATTCACAAAAATCCCTTCTGATACTAATCTCTGATATGTTTAGTTTATGTCATGAACTGAGAAATATAGCTATTTCAATACCAGTACAGTTAGATTTGACAAGATATTTTGATCGCGATCATCATGATCAATGTTAATAATAAAGAAAGATCAAATTTTGTCCACCACACTTGAAACTGAAATCAATGTAGCCATGATAGAATTGCTGTATAAACAAAACGTTCTGAAATGAACAGTTCTAGTTTACATTTCATGCCTGAATTTTCCTATTAATATTAATATTATAAAATATTAAAAAAAATAATTCTATGATCAGTTTTAAACGTAAGCCTTAAAGTAAGTGACAATCAAAGTTTTTTTTACTTTTATTCGGATTTTGTAGTTTGACTATTTTTACAACTGTTGACGTACATAATAAATAACATAATACAGATCACTAATATACCCATTCATACATCGCTATTTCTATATTTACGTCATAAACTATGTAGGAGTCAGATATTCCTGTCCTACCAAAAATAATGAATTCTAAAGGGCTATTATTTATAACCTTAAATAAGCCACTTTTGAAAATATACAAGCAATTAATGATCATTTTGCCCCAGTATGGGGTTCCTCAGAAATGTACATTCACGATCTCGCATTTGAAAAATCGAACACAAGACCTTTGATTTCACGCTCGAATACTTAACTCCTAGACCAGTGAGCTGGACAAACGTCTAAAACGGTCTATAGACCCCTATTTACGCTTTCTCATGAAAGCACCTCATGGACCATCTTTCCTAATAATAAGAACCAAAATACTCCAACATGGTATCGAATATTATAAATGAAAGACTAACGAACTGAGATCTATATCTGTTGATAAACTTCAACAATTTAACTGGATGAAATGAAGTACGCTTTGCTACATAGTGAAAATCAATGAATAATGCGTAAATAAATATTAACCTATCATTCTTACATCCTTTTTAACTCATATTGTAAACAATAATGACGTACATTTGGTTGTCCAGCCATCTATTATGTCTTTGAAAACCAATTTGATTGACATAACAACAAAAACATGCAACCATTGTATATGTGAACATTTTTAGCGATCTTCACATATTCTGAGAAGTAAGATTTGCAGCAACCAGACAAAAAGATTAAATTATTCTCGTCCATATTCTAAGGTCATAAATGAATATTGATTTTTATATAAGAACTGAATACACATACATACATATACTTTATTTGATTTCATTTATTCACTTTACAAATTCATATTCAACATTCTAGCATAATTTGTTAATTATTTAGTACATACTCATTTTGTAGCTCTATTCAGTAATTTAAGTTGTTACATTGAAGAAACTCTTTTTTGGCTGAAGAGCAAATGGTTGGGATAATTTTTTATTTCAATCGTTGAAGATTTTACAATTATTACCTTCATTTTTTTATTACGTAATTCATATTTTTTTAAATTTTAGATGTTTAGGTGTAAGTTAGAATTTTAATCTCCAAGCCGATAAATATTTTCATCTGACCGGTATGTCGGTTCCAGTTTGTTCAATCAACAGTACAGGTGATATTTATCTATTAAATCAGGTAGGATAAATTAGATAACATAAATAAAATAACATCTATTTCTCATGAACTTCATTACAATTTGGTAGTGAAAAATACCGTCTAGGGTGAAAAATTTATATTATTTAGAATTCGAAGAAAACTACTAGCCATTTGTTTAAGTATTTTTAAGTACTATGATAATTAAAAATGGAAGTGAAATTCAAGAAGGGACCACACAATAGAAAGTTAGAAGCAGTTTTTATCACAAACGTATCTTAGCTAAGGAGAAGTTGAGAGCAATCGATCATTCAATCGATATTTCGACGTTGTTTTGAACTTTACTTCTTGTGAAAATACATACTCTCTCATGACTTAGCTTACGATATACATGAGCATATTTTGCATACAAGAGATTTGAAATAAATCAATCAAATTTTCTAATGTAATCAATTACTTACTATCCTACTCCTTACTTTACTGACTATACAGATCATCATTGTAGCTGACGGCTTGATAGTAGATCACAAATCATCTCACTAATAGAAAAGTAACTGTTATATAATTTAGTGATATCTGAAAATCATCAAAGTTTACAGTTCGTTCCCAAATTGAGCTTATCCTAGACAGAGATATATGTTATTAATCTCACTAATCTTCAGCAATCAGCACAAATTCTATTTACAATTAAGGAATATATCATTCAAAGCTGGTGGTAGCAACTATAGTTTATTAGTGAATGGTTACTTCTAATTTAACCATTTGAGGTCTTCTTAATTATATGGTTGTAGTTTATTAGTTAACTAGTGGTTTGAGAAAATCGATAAAGCCAATTTAAAAACATAAATTCACATGTTTCTGTAAATTTAGATGAATTATTATATCAGATAAATGTTTAAATAGGATTTTTCCAAAAACATACTATTTACAAACTAGTCATCCATTAAACTTGAGATTCCATTATTAGCGTAATATGGGTAGTTTTGCACATGACATCATTGATGATTTTTTTAAAACGGTTCTTTTTTTTAAAAGATTGGGTTTGCAAACCTCATTCCCTATCTTTCTTATTTATCCAAGTATGGGACCAGCAATAACCATAATTGATTGATCACTGGGTGGTGATCAATCTCATGCTTTTCTAGTCCTTATTAGTGCCCGGATAGCTCAGTGGTAACAACTCTGACTGTGAAGCTGGATGACACGAGATCGAATCCTTCAGAGAACACCAGTTCCTCAAGATCACAGGTACACCTTACTGACTAGTGCCAAGTAGCACGAAACCCGGGTCCAGGATATCCTGTCGACTACTTCCAACCATCATCTTACCAGCAATAACCCCTAAAAGGACTCGAAAAGAAGTTGTAGTAACTAACTATTATCTATCAAAGTAACACCATATTTCATTTAACCTTCTTGTTTATCTATTCAATAATATTTAATTATTTTTTCTTTTAATATCATTCATTTTTAGGATTTAATCAATGCAGCAAATACTGCTATATATTTAAATACTCAAATGAATTCAATGGATTATTCAACATTCAATATTACAGAATTAAATTATTTTAAATTAAATAGTTTACCATTATTTGAACAATATATTAATTTACATGGTACATCACATATGTCTTATTGTTCACGTGTTACAAGTTTTAAATCCAATTTTTATTTACGTAATATTTTACAAACTTATTTACAACCATTTGTTATATTCTTTACAATTATTACAAATTGTTTAATATCAATTGTATTAAATTATCCAACAATGCGTAATTCAACAAATATTATATTATTAGGTATAGCTATATGTGATTTATTAACAGTATTATTACCATTACCTGTATATTTATGCTTTTTAACAAGTAATTTATTTTCAGAAAATTTAACAATATCTAAAGGATATAGTGTAACTTATTTAACAACAATACTTCCAACAGTATGTCATACATCATCAATATGGTTAACAGTATTATTAGCATTACAAAGATTTATTTATGTACAATTTCCATTAAAAGCAAATCGTATTTGTTTATGTCAATGGAGATCAGTTCAGTTATTAATTATTTTAACTGTATTAGCTGGATTATTATTACAATTACCGCATATGATTGTAATGCATTTTATTAATGCAATAGAATATTGTTTTTTATCAACTACATCATCCTCACCATCATCATCATCATCATCATCCTCACCACCATCATTATCATTATATACACCAATAAATTCATCAATAACAATATCAAATTATTTATTTAATTCACAATTTATTTCTTATTTATTTAATACTACTAAAAATATAAATAATTATAATTATATAAGATTTCAAAAAATTAATTTAATGAAATGTACACCAATGAGTCAAACAATATTTTTTACATTATTAATAATACGTGTATTAATTGTTAATTTAATACCATGTATTATGTTAACTATATTAACTGGTTTATTAATTATGGCATTAAGACGTTTTATACAAAATAGACAAAAATTATTAAAAATCAATAATACTAATGATAATAATAATGATAAAAAATCAATAACATTTTATAAAAATAATATAAATTCATATATAATCAATAAAAAATATAATGAAATTAATAAATTAGAAAAATCAGATCAATCTAATGAAAATCAATTAAATTTATTTAATAATGAAATAAAATTAACAAAAAATAATAATTTTCAAAAAAAATCATTACGTAATCATTTAACTGATACTGATTCTACATCAAAAATGATGCTTGTTATATTGGGAATATTTTTATTTACAGAAATACCAACTACAATATGTTTATGTATTTATGCATTTATAACATTATTAGATATATATCCACCATCAGCATTTTATCAAGTAAGTGTTTAGGATTTATTAATGAATAGAGTGAGTTTCCTTTTTGGTTTTTTGTTTTCGGTATTATCAGTAATTAAAGAAAGAATTAATTGAGTGAAGAAATTTTAACTCAATTAGTTTTTCATCATCCCTCATAGAATGGGTACGTTACGTAATAATTATGTAATGACACATCGATCATAAATTAACACAATTTGAGAGAAAGTCAATATCATGCGTAATTCCTATGATGGATTAAACTGCAAAAACCTGCATGGATGACAATGAAAGACTCGTTCGAAGTAAAGATCAATGTCAGGTAAGGTTGCTTATTCTCACTTCTTCTCTTTCCTCTGGTGATCGACTGAATCATGAAGACGTGAACATCTGGATGAAAGCACGGGATACAATAGTCAGCTAGGATATAGACTTCACAGATGATCTGGTTCTTCCATCGCACACGCACCGATAAATGCAGGAGAAGACGACCAGTGTGGCAGCCACCTCAGCAGAAGAAGGTCGCAACATACACGAAGGAGAAAGAAAGATTTTCCGATACAGCACAACATACACTAAACAAATCACACTTGACAGAAAGGATTTTGAAGATGTAAAACATTTACATTTCTCGGCAGCATCATTGATCAACACGACGGATCTAGTGCAGATGTGAAGGCACAGATCAGAAAAGCAAAAGCAGCATATCTACAATTGAAGAACATCTAGAACTCAAAATAACTGTCAACCAACACCAACGTCAGAATTTTCAATACAAATGTGAAGACAGTTCTACTGTATGGGGGCGGAAACCTGCAGAACTACGAATGCAATCATCCAGAAGATACAAGTGTTTATTAACAGCTATCTACGCAAAATACTTCGGATCCGTTGTCCAGACACTATCAGCAACAACCTACTATGGGAGAGAACAAACCAGATTCTAGTGGTGGAAGAAATGAGGAATAAGAGCTGGAAGTGGATAGGGTACACACACATTGAGGAAAGCACCTAACTGCGTCACAAGACAAGCACTCACATGGAATCCTGAAGGCCCAAGGAGAAGAGGAAGATCAAGGAACATAATACGTCGAGAAACGGAGACAGACATGAGAAGAATGAGCAACAATTGGATAGAACTAGAAAGAAGACACAGGACAGAGTGGTTTGTAGAACTCTGTTTGGCGGCTTGTGCTCCATAGGGAGTAACAGACGTAGGTAAGTAACTTGGAATAAAGAGAAATAATAATTATTAAAGTAATTATTCAAAATTCAAGAAGTTGGTACATTGCAAATTTGATGGAAGTTAAATGGCTAAATGTGTCTTTAAGTGGTCTATTTTCTAGTTTTGCAAGGAAAATGTCTGCCAGTAGAGGGTCAAACGGTGACCTCATGGCTACCCCATCTAATTGTCTATAGTATTCGTTGTCCAATCGGAACTGGACATTCATTGCGCATCTAAGAATTAACTGTTTTATTGCGCATGAGGGAATTAAAGTTTCTATGCGCCTCTCTTTTAATTCATTGCAAATAAAATCTACCGTTTCAAGTAGGAGAATGTTAGTGAATAAATAATTGATCATTAAGTGAATATAAAATCTAGATTGTTGCTAGATTTCATAGCTATTAAACGGAGTATGCATCAATAAATATGCGTTATTAAATGACAACACTGCTCGGATAAATGAACACAATTCAATATTAAACTTCCATTTATTTTATTTGGAACTTCTACCATGTGTATTTTCAATTTTATTTAAGATAGAGTTCAGTGAATTCTGATCATTATTTATTAAATTGGGATCTAGTGATTGATGTCATTTATTTATATGGATTTGTGACTATGTTTAGTGGATTGCTACTTCATTATTTTTTTACTAATTTAACTCGATAACTAGAGGCTTTTTAATGAGACGTTTGCTAACCCATCAACATCACAATGATTATATGGTCATATAACTATAAATGATTAAGAAGGTTTAGTGTTCCTACGAGTTAAAATACAAAGGGAAAACAGTATACAGTTCTTGTTGAATTTTCGAAAATCAAACAACTGTCATTAATTCAAGATGAAAGTTATCCTCGAATTATAAGAAATCTCATCATGAAACAAGCCGTAAAAATTATGTAATTTTAATTACCACTAATTAGAATTATTTACTCTTATTTGAAAAAAAGGGATTACAAAAATGTATTATTCTTCTGGCCTACATAAACATTGACCATTAGTTATGTAGTTACAATCGAATTGTCTCATGGAATCATGTCATAAAGGAACTGGCTTGCATAATTAATTCAGAAGGTCATTGAGAAAATAGTACATCTTTGTACAAAACATACGATGTAAAACATGAATACGCAGTCATATCAAAACATTATTAAAAAAACGATCATTATAACTGTGATAAAAATTATAAACATATATTTATCATCAGAAGGGTTTTTGTGTAAATTTTGGTAGTTTCAATAGTTGAAATCACGAGTCAATTGAAGCTGGACCACCATGGAAAACCTGAAAGCACTGGACGGCCGTTTCGTCCTAGTATGGGACTCCTCAGCGATGCACATCCACGATTACATCTCATACTAGGACGAAACGGCCGTCCAGTCAAAGTATTGTTTAAAGTCTAACAACATAACCACAGTTATGTAATAAAACGAAAAAGTAATCGACTCAGTTGATTTACATAAGTTCACAAACTGGCTGTATCATGCTTATCAGATTTGACGATAAGACACCAAATATTTTTGAAATATTTTTGAATCAAGATAAACAGTTAGCAAAACTGTTACTTTCTAAAAAGAATACGAATATCTAATAGTAATCATTTTCTTAAACGTCAATTCTGCTAGCATAACCATTGCTATCCTGATTGTTCGATTAGCAGCTAAATACTTATGCTAAGAGAACAAAAGTTATGCAAAAAGAATTTGAATTTTTCTTTATTTTTTTAGTTATATTTAATCTTAAATACTTCCATGTCTTAATAAATAAAAACCATGTATAAACAAAGGTAATATATGTACGTGATCATCTAAAGTTAAGTCGCACTGTTGGAAGCGCTTCATACAAGTACAGAGTAATTTAAGATTAAATCAAGCTTATTTACATACTTATTAGGCATTAAATTCAATATCTCCATAATTTGTGCCTAAAGTTGTCCAGATGAAGATCTTGAAGAAAGTAGCACTTTAACACCAGTAACTACAAATGATAATAATTTAAAATGCTAAAGAAAAATTTTATATATGAATTACTATTTCGCATAATGATTCAATATTATTTTTAAAGGTATAAATCACTTTGATAAAAATATTTGGTTGATATTCTCTCCTATTCTCAAACATAAAATCATGTATTTATGGGCAGATTTATTATCCTGAAGAAGTCCAGACAAGTTGGCTGGACGAAACGTTGGAATTATTTAAATTTTAATCGCTGAGATTATTTCAAATATAATTTTCATGTAAAAATGCCTTCTCTATACTCGGAGCCCAATTTCTGTCAAACTATTTGTTTTAATCTTGACGAATATTCGTATAAAAAGCTTGATAGTTTTTGACTGATGCTAATGTTATCATAAAGGTTTTTTCTTTTTAAATATAGATGAAGTAAACGTTGTGAATATTTGTAGCACACCGTTACGTAACAGTTTGATATACATATATATTAATTTATTAAATTAATCGGTCTTTATTCCGGGTATTGATCTTCCACTTATTGTTATCTAATCTTAAATTAATTTTTGGAAACAATCATCCACATTAATTAACTCATTCTTTTTTCTCAAAACATTTATTTTCATCCAGGTTATTTATTTATATTTTCTAGATAATCCCCTTATACACTTTAATATTCAATGTTTATCTGGCATTGCAATTTAATCTGATCTACAATTATACCAAGTTCTAGATTGCTTATGGTTAGGTAATAATTCTAGGTGAGACTATAATTTATGGACGACATTTGAAAGACGCTAGACTAACCTTGAGAGTGTCCGCTTAATAACCAGGATCAAATGAGGGTTATGAACCTGTGTGAGAAATAATAATAATAATTTACGGTTGATGGTTAGGGTTAGGAATTACATTGAGGGTTTTCACTACGAACTGATATCAGCTATAATGCCAAAACTCTATTTATCCAAATAGATGATTGAATTTCGCGCCAAAATCCGAGACCTATTATCTTATACGTGATTGGTTCGTCCATAAATTATAGTCTCGCTGAGGTCTGATGTAATTTAACACCTACAGCGTAAATTAATAATTTTCATTGTTCTCAATACGTTGATTTTTGTTGTTAAAATTCTTAATTCTTACACGACTATTCTTATTCTACTTATTTGTCATCGATTCCATAAGCAACGTATTAATTATCATTCATTTTGATTAGCTTTTATCCATCTTGATACCTCTTATCTATTAGCATAGATTGAAAATATTATTTACAAAAAAATATCGTTTTTCATAACTACTAAGTTACATTCATTTAAGTATAAAGATATCCGTTATAATTTTATGGTTTAATAAAAATCATTGTATGATAGTAGAAGATCATTTTTAAAACATAATAAACGTCTCATTAAAAAAAAGATTCTATCATTGTAGATTGATCTTAATTTTTAATCTGACCATTCTTAACAGTACACATAAGTTAGTTAAAAGAGATTATCAAGAAGGACAATATCTAGGATATGTGTTAAATTAGTAGTCAAAGACAATCAAATCGTTTACTATGTATTAACGAAAATCCTAAAACAATAAATAAATCATATATTTATTTCCAGTTTAAATTTAATGTCAAATAAGTCATTTGACTTATTCCCATTATTATTATTATTATTATTATTATTCTCTAAAATCTTATTTACAATATTAACTAAATTTCTTATTTCATTAATAGATCAACTATTAAGTAGCCTAATTCGAAGCAAATAGTTATGTCGAAATGATATATTTTTATATACAATTATTATTCATGTGGGAATTTTCATATATTATTATTGCATATTTTGTTTCTT